CCTGGTACCCCATACTCCTGAAGTACCCCCCAGAGGGTACGGGCTGTTAGGACCCTGTACCCTACAGGTCCTATTCTTGACTGGACCTGTAGTTTGGATTTAAAATGACGACTTTTGTCGTCAATGGCAGTGAATGTGTTAAAAAACAATTTATTAATAAACACGAATGTAATGAACACATGCGCCATAAACACTGAACAAAGGCGCAATAAACACGCTTAAAAAACATTTATTAACTCATTCACTGCCATTGACGACAAAAGTCGTCATTTTAAATCCAAACTTTTAAAATTGCTGGCAGCAAAGGGCTTTACTGACCAGGAAACGTCTGGCAGTGAATGAGTTAATAAACACAATGTAATGAACACATGCGCCATAAACACTGAACAAAGGCGCAATAAATACGCTTAAAAAACATTTATTAACTCATTCCCTGCCATTGACGACAAAAGTGGTCATTTTAAATCCAAACTTTGAAAATTGCTGGCAGCAAAGGGCTTTACTGACCAGGAAACGTCTGGCAGTGAATGAGTTAATAAACACAATGTAATGAACACATGCGCCATAAACACTGAACAAAGGCGCAATAAACACGCTTAAAAAACATTTATTAACTCATTCCCTGCCATTGACGACAAAAGTCGTCATTTTAAATCCAAACTTTGAAAATTGCTGGCAGAAAACACCTTTATTGATCAGGAAACATCTGGCAGTGAATGAGTTAATAAACACAATGTAATGAACACATGCGCCATAAACACTGAACAAAGGCGCAATAAACACGCTTAAAAAACATTTATTAACTCATTCACTGCCATTGACGACAAAAGTCGTCATTTTAAATCCAAACTTTTAAAATTGCTGGCAGCAAACGGCTTTACTGATCAGGAAACGTCTGGCAGTGAATGAGTTAATAAACACGAATGTAATGAACACATGCGCCATAAACACTGAACAGAGGCGCAATAAATACGCTTAAAAAAACATTTATTAACTCATTCACTGCCATTGACAACAAAAGTTGTAATTTTAAATCCAAACTTTGAAAATTGCTGCCAGCAAAGGGCTTTATTGATCAGGAACGTCTGGCAGTGAATGAGTTAATAAACACAATGTAATGAACACATGCGCCATAAATACTGAACAAAGGCGCAATCAACATGCTTAAAAAACAATTTATTAACTCATTCACTGCCATTGACGACAAAAGTCGTCATTTTAAATCCAAACTTTTAAAATTGTTTGCAGCAAACGGCTTTACTGATCAGGAATCGTCTGGCAGTGAATGAGTTAAACACACCAACAATACTCAAAACCCATTGAACTAAACATTCATAATAATAGCATGAAGAAAATTTAATGTCTGTAATCATGTTCCATCAATTTCTCAAACCTTTACTAAAACATGTATGTGCACGTCTGCATCTCATCCAGGTGTAATCATACACGTGGATGAGAAGTCGCTTTAGAATGAAATCAGGGAATCTACATAAAAAAATCTTCCCATATGTTTTATTTCTCATATATGAAGGATATTAATGCGTGCTTTACATGAGTTTTAGTGCCACGGAGAAAGAAAATGAAAAAATAAAATGAAAGTCAAGATTGAAACTGAAATATTGAGGAAAAAAGCTAACGTACATTTCCAGATTAGAACAAAAAGTTGGCTATTTAAATGTGTGGAACACTGAAAAACATTTTCCGATTATAATCGATCACTCTGAGTTTTTGAAATTCCAGGATTTGAAAAGTCTGACAGATCTACGTTACACTGTCCCAAAGTCGTCATTTGCATTTTTTTACTGTGTGGGCGTCAGAACAAGCCTCCGCAAAGTGAGAACAAACATCCCAGCTCTAAAGCCAATCTCCATCCGCATATGTCACATGTCACATGATCAGGAAGCAGAAAATCCATGTGTTAGGTTGTTTTGGGCCACTGCTGTAAAAAAAAAGTGAGGCGCGAACCGGAAAAGCTTCTGCTGATCACAATTCAACAACGGATTATGAAAGAATGGATAATGCTCGAAACGTGCAGATTCTTCCTGATGTAAGAGGCGAGTCTCTGCTTTGATTTGGTTGTTTTGGTGTCAACATCATCCTAGCGCACAACGTTCTGTGACTCTTCAAATAACAGTAAAAACGGTGAGAAATGCTGGCAGCAAAGGGCTTTTGCTGATCAGAAAACGGCTGGCAGCGAATGAGTTAATATTCATGGATTCACCCATCTTGAGTCGCGACGAGGAGGGCTATTGTTGGTTCAGCGTCAAGGAAACAGCAGAGAACATTTCGGCTGGTAGAGGCTAACCTTTAGCATTAGCAACTCCACCATACGGCAGAACTCTTCCAGGCGTGTGCTTTTTTATATAAAGCATCAACGTTGCAGAGAAAACAGAGTCAGCGGCAGAGTCGCGTTGCTGTTATCCAATCCGAGATGTACAAATATCAGGAAATAAGACTCCAAATCCTGCCGTCTGAAGCTCAGCTCTGATGTGGCTCACTTCTACTTCCTGAAACAGGCGTACTAGAGCTTTGTTTCTCTGGAGAATGACTTACAAGCATTCATTCCTACTAGAGATAAAATGCATTGATTAAACAAATGCCCATTTTGTTACTTAAACAAACAGTTTTTAATTTCAATTTATGTTTATGTTTCATCTTTTTCATTATTGGAACCTGACATCTGTAGGGAAACATTATAAATAAGGTATTTTACTAAAAACAAAGCCCAGTCACTATATAGCCATAGCACATTTCCAGTAAGATTGTGGCTAAATATTACGAAAAAATTCTTGTGTTCACTTGAAAAGAAAAAAAAAACATAAAAAAAAGTATTTTTAAATTAAATCACAGGTCAGCCATGGAGGTAAATAGAAAAAAATGTTAAAACTTCAATAATAAATAGTGTGTTTTGAAATATTCATCATTTTACCTCGTAGTCAAGCTCAAGCTAAGGAGAGCTGAAGATCTGCCTCTAATTACAGTAAAATGTTTGATATGAGAGATCTGTTTGTCACATTTTTCGTAAATGGAATGCAGGTGATGTTTCATGCAGAGACAGCCCAACAATATTAGGGACATAGGTGCAAAACAGGGAAAAGATTTTAGGAGGAGAAGCTTTTCCCCTCACAGGTATATTCTGATGGCGGTGCATGCCTGCCACCATGTGGAGAAACATCATTAACACCACCTGGAATGACTCCCAGCTACATATGTTCAAGAGTAAATAATTAATTGGTGTACTAATATCTTTTAAAATGTGTGTGTGGTCATTACAGGCTATGCTCAGTAATTTACAGGTGTTACAAAAGATTCATACATGTCCTTTAGAAATGGGTTTTCACACATCCCAATATGATTCTTTTTGCACATTTAACTGAAGGAGAGCCGCTGAAGCGTGACAGGAATTGATTTTTCTGTATGCAGATTTGCATTTGAACAGAACCCTTGTGCATGAATGCCAAAGAGGGCATTCAGCACAGAAGGTTCCTGTGAGTCACCACAGCCATACATCATACACTTAGCCCTCATCCATTCAGCACGTGGCCAAATGCAGGCAGCAGCAGGATGTGTTCTTTACCCAACCAGTTAGAGTAAATAATATATAATTAACCTGGAAGCATGTGTGATACTATAGTGGAGTAAATAACAGATTTGTATCAACATAAATGCATACTGTTATTAAAGAGAGCTTCAGCTATGCAGAGAGCATTGATTTGTGGTAATTGATGTAAATGCATTTCCCATTTGGACTCTTGGTAAATGGCAGGTTTATAAATCACACTTGAAGGAGATGTGAGATGAGTTGCAGCACTGTTTGAAAAAAAAAGGAAAAAAATCAGAAGGAACAAGCCTGATATTGTCCCTCTTTAACCACTTAACGGGCTTGTCAACAGTTAAATTCAACATATCTTTTAATCCAATATACTTATTTACTGGATTAAAAATCACATAATGTTTAAATAAAAAAGTATTAACTTGCAATAAAAGTATGTCATGATTTACATTTTATCATAACATCTATTCTGGGATATGTCTGGGATGCTTCCAACACAAAAAGGAACAAGCTGGATAAGGAAGTTTATATCTCTGTCAGTTTGTTAGAAAATAATTGTTTATAATCTATTGAAAATCTCAAAATAATAGTTAGATGAGGCATCACTGGTTAGCTTGGAGGCAGTTCCAGCTACCAACCTTACCCCCCAAAATAAACACAAACACCTGACACAAAATGTCTCACATGTATTATGAGTGGGCATTTTTACCTTTTTAAATCTAAAAACTTCCTTTCAGGGTATGTTCAGTAATAACAGCATCATTTAAATCAGTTTCAGCTCATTTGTTTTACAGACTATAAATTACACCAGTGGTTCCCAAGCTAGGGTCCTCGACCCCCAAGGTCCCCACAATTTTGTCTGCGTTGATGTTGGGAGGTTACCAAGATTATGTTTGTAAAAATACAATTATAAAATCCAGATGACACACCAAATAGTAAAATCAAAATTATGTAAAAGCCACAACTCTGTAAAGTTTATAATTATTCACTTTGACTTGTGTCCATGGGGGTTGGATTTAGGGGACCCATGGCTTGTCTTGACACACGGAGGGGTCCTCTTGAAAAAACGGTTGGCAACCACTGAATTAGACCCATAAAATATCAGAAGTAAATAGTCAGTTATTTATTTTTGGACTTGTTGGTTAAATCTGGCTGAATAACAACAACAGCAACAACAACAACAACAATAATAATAATAATCCAAATTATTTAAATAAAACTAATATTTTCTAAACAAATACAATATTACAATATAATACAATAATAATAATACAATATAATTAATTGGAACAAAATCATTCAAATGCTGAATATTATCTATAAATATTTATTTAAAACCATCACTTCTCACGTAATAAACAATGTTAAATATAAATGGAATAAACTGGTGAAAGGAAATCAGGAAAACGAAAACCCGCTGCGTATCATCGCGGTCCTCGCACATTACGCACGACGTTAGGAGTTCCCCTGCTCTCACGGTGAAAACGCCCCTCCATCGTCCTCCCACAGCCCTGGTGACTGCTAGCCGCCCCTGCCGGCTCGCGCCCCGCTCTTGTCTCCGCCTGCAGCGCTCCATCTCCCGCGGCACAGAGAAAGGCGCGCCGGGGCGCAGCAGTGTGGCGGTCCTCTGCTTCCGTCCAATGACCCAGAATCCGGATCGAGGCTTGACATCCGGACCTGACAGGGCAGGTATGCAGTTTCGTTTGTTTGTCTGGTGATCCGAACAGGTGCACGCTGCGTTTTGCCGGTTGAGTGACATTGTGTGGATGGGACGGAGATCTCATCCCGCTGACAAATGAACGGAGGTAGAAACGCTTTGTGCAGCTTTAGTGCCATGGGCGGATGTGGAGGGTGTCACCACACAGCCTTAATATGACCAATATGGTCGGCGGGCTGCTTTAACAAGCTGCACAGAATGAGCACATCCTTTATTTCACGCGTATCAAGGCCCAGTAGGAAGCAGGTGCACATTTACAGTTTTTTATCTCAAAATACCGAACAGATTCTACCACCCTACAGCCTTTCTTGCACATTCATGAATATATATTTTTTGTTTCGTCTTATTGCTGTGTGGGACCACGGGCTAACAGCTGATGCAGAAGATAATGAGCTAATTGAAGATGGAGAGTGTTGACGCGGGTGTGGCAGAGCTGAGGGGGCAGGCAGGGCTCTCTGGAGCTCAGTGTGTGAAATGCCACGTGAGAAGGAGCCATCAGACTAGTGGAGTTTGTCTAAGAAACTGCATGTGCTTGAGCTGCAAGAGGCTGGAGCAAAGTGATTGCATGCAAATGCCAAAGAATATCTGGAAAAATATATAAGATTTCCCCCTAATGGTTTTGTGAATAATTCAAATTGACAAGCTCCTGTAGGTACTTTGGTAAATCAAATCAGTGCATGTTTCTAATGATTTAACTTCCCTCCTTTCCAGGGTGGCATTTGACAAATGATTATATTTTACAGCACATATTATAAACCTTTACGAAAGCCAGCTTGCAGAGCTGCAAATAAAACGAAACTTCACCCTTTAGCAATAAAGGTCTGAAAAAGCAACTTTCAAAAACACATAGCATATAAAAACCTATATCTGGGCCACTTGACATCTACAAGTTTCTCATCGCTAATGAACTCTTTTGTTCGGCCTCTTTCTGCTCAAACAGACTGCCCGCCCTGGAGGAGCTGGCTCCTTTGCAACCACACCACAGGCTACAGCATCTCCCAGACTCCGAGTTTAAGCCAGACTCAGGGAGGGGGCAAATTATATCGAAAATCTATCCTTCTGTCCATCCATGCCTCTTCCCCTCTGTGCATCCTTCAATCTCATTTTCCCTTCACCTGCTCCACTTTTAGCCTCCCTGGTGTTCATTACAGCAGTGGAAACAAGACAGAGTGATGCTCTCCTCTGTTACCGACCTTTAGATCACAGAGCCTAACCTTTTTGCATCTTCAAGCATTTAAAAAATATAGTGCACTCCTATTTTCTAAAACATAGATGCCATATTTTCAGGTTGATCTGGAACGAAAGTTCTAGCGTTGCGTGTGCTTTTTCATTATTTCAGCATGCATGCTTGTTTAAGGTGGCACACACTGATACTATTCTCCCTGGAGCCCTGCGTTAAGCCATCCCACGATCGATTTGCAATAGCTGATTGAAGCAGAGACGATGTGTGTACTCAGCTGATCTAAACATGCTTTGCTTTAAAGTCAGAGGAGCCTTCAAAGGCGTATCGAAGATAGCGACACGTAATAAACTGTCACTTGTGCATTATCGCCACAAATTAACACATCAAAGTTATGAGTAGGAACTTGGTTTGACACAGACCTATCTATGTGGCTAAACCGTGGGTTATCACAAGGTGAGGATTTCAGTTTTAACAGCATGCATTAATGGATTTTCTGAAGAGCATCAGTATGAATTCTGATGAATATCAGGATGATTGGCTGTAAAAGTAATGAGTTTTCTTCAAAAAAAAAGCAAAATTTAGTATGGTGCTGTTTTTAAAGACGAGCATGCTGCTACCCGATTCATTTCCTTGACAACGTTGGTAAAAGGAATAATTTTATCCATATGTTTGAAGTTTGCAAGTATTTTGGCAACATTGGCCTAGATTTAATTCAACTGTGAAACGTAAACTTTAAAGAAGGAGTTATTGCAACCCTTTTATGTTGCATCATTTTTATGATATGCAGTGTTTGCATTGAACTATGGTTACCTGCAAGGTCAAATAGCGATTGCATCATCTGGCTGTGACTTCAGGTGACTTCTGACAGAAATGTCATAAAAACCAGAAAAAAACTATGTACTGTAAAATTTGCACAAAAATGTCTAAAATTGTACTAATTAGCGTTTCAGTCCAGTTGAGGTTCTTTTATATACCAACAGTTAAAAATGTTATTAGAAATCTTTTTACACACCAAAACCAAAATAATGTAAGCCATCATTTTAAGCTTTAATCAAGTATTTCAACAAGTCTTCTACTTAAACCATTCGGAACTTGAATATTTTGAATTCAGAGTTAACTGAAAGCTTAGTTGCAACCTTTGAGGTTCTTTATAAGGCATTTCCTTCAGCTGCTGTCAGTGAAGCTATTGTGTTCTGGTGATCGACTTAAATAACCAAAAACATTCCGATTTAGGCGGCAGGTGCTGATTCAGCAAGTTCAGTTATTCTTTCCCTTCTGAAGCTCATGCTGCTTTATCAGTATGATTTCACTCACCTTCCGTCTGTTCTGCATCACACCGACAAATCTGTTGCAGAGTTTCACTCAATCAGATCAGACAGTTTACAGAAACCAATCAGTATGGCCTGATCTGCATCTACTAGGCATCACATCGTCGGTAAACTGCCCCTTTTTTTTGCTGGCATTGTGCCATCACACCACAACATAAAGTGAGCCATACATGATTGGGTCCTTCATTGAAATGCCACATGCATCATCTCCTGTTGTTATGGTACAAGTCTGTAATGGTTTAATCAACTTAAAGCTGTTATAGCGATTCTGCAAAAAAAGTAAAGTGTTAAACGCAAGCACGGTCACGGACCACTCACCCCTCCCCTTTGGGTATCTTCCCTGGATCCACTTCTACCAGAACCGGAAGCCTGCATTACTAGAGGAAACAAGATGATGTTAAACACTAGGTGTGGTTTTTAGGACCAAATGTCTTTGTTGTCCATGACTTTAAATGTAGGGGTACACCGATTGCAGTTTTTGGCCGAACACCGGTCTTGAACCCCCCCCCCCCCCCCCCCCCCCCCCCCCCGCCCCCACCGGGGCTGATAGATCGATGCACGTTTTGGGACTTTGGTTGTTGAAGTGATAGCAGCCAGCTCTTTCTCCTTCTCTGACAATATTGAGCGTAGTTTGTCCTAAAGTTGAAGTGGTAGCAGCTGGCTGTTTCTCCTTCTCTGACAATATTGAGCGGAGAACCTGTCACACCACTGGTGTTCTGTTGCTAAAAGCATGAGTTATGAGTGGAGGACGCATGGAAATGCGGTTTAGCAAGATCAAAAACCGGCAGATCCATTAGTTGCTTTTTGTGTGAAACATGTTGGCTGAGGTTTTAGACAAATGCGAGAGAACCACTTTATTAATTTCTTTAGTTTTTTTATCTCCAATATATTTATAGCTATACCACGTTAGAAGGTTAAGAGGCAGGAAAACAACCTTTTAAGCTATTTTGTTTTCTAAATTTGCCATTGCAGCTTTAAGAATGTTGTTAAGAACAGAGGAGGCTCGTTTATGTTTCAAAGCAACAGTGTTAGCCTCTTCTATTTACAGGTTGGTATGCTGCTAAATACTATATAGTCTCTAACAGTGATTTATCAACATTTCCTTAGTAAAGGAAAGTCTTTTCTAAAGGTAACTAGAAGTTGCTAAAAACATCGTCCCCTCATTTACACAACTGGTCATATTTGTAAGGAGAGAGGGATAGCTTGATAGAGACAAGAAGCGTAAAAGCAGTCCAATATGTTTAGAGCTTATTTTTGTCACAATTTGAGATATTTTATATCATCCAGAGTTGGAACTGAAAAAAAGTTTCCCCACTTTGGTGGAATTTGTCAGGTTTTGTTTTAGCTAACCATGATCAGCAGGTGGCGACTATATTTGTCTGGATGCAGAGGTGAACATCTCCTGCTCTGAATGGATTTGGGGAGTACAGGGGACTACTGTGCAAAGACTGGGCTGCCTGTGAGTGCTCTGGGATGGGAGAGGGGTTCAGAGCATCACCCCCTGCTCATTTAGAGGAATAAAAACCCCAATTGTACAACAAAAGCTGCTAGATACGAGTCTTGTTACTTAAATAAAACAAATACTGTAGATTAGGTAAAGGAGTCTGAACATGCACTAAATGCTGCAACGAAGTTAGAAACCCTAAATGAAGACTCATTCCAGTTAACTATTTGTTTGCAGTGGCTTTTGCTGTCACCAAGATCACCAAAGAACGGACTATGTTTTAGAGTGTTCGTGATTTGGCTTTTAGCATTTAACAGATCTTCTTTCTTTCCCTCATATAAAAACAGTCTCCATCATTTGCATCAAAACAGCAATTATATGCAAATAAAAAACATTCATTGTGGTAATTTGCCATGAAATATGAAGTCTTTGTAAACATGATCATGAAAATGCTTTGTAGCCCATTTCCTTAATAGCACTAATTATTTATCAGTTACTAAGTGAATAAACAAGTAATTGACATTATGAGAAGTCATACATTTAAATGTTTTTGGCAAAAAAATCAGAGAAATACTAAAATATTCTTGGTTTTACTAAATGCACAAGGGGATTTTTCTTCAGCATTTGAACAAACCACCTTCTCCACTTCCTCTCATTGCCACCATATCGTTTAGATGAGTGAAACACATATTTGTAGCTTTTATTTAAATAAAATTAAACAAATCAGCTGTTTTCATGATCTAAAACACACAGGAAATGTGCTGGAAGCAGACTGCGGAGGCAGACATGTCAGCTCCACTTTACTAAGTCCAACAGAGCACGCCGGCACTCTGAAGTTGCAAGTGCAATATTCTGGCCACAGTGGCGATAGGGGCTGGGTGGCCTTTTACTAACCCTGTAAAGGGTCTTTTTAGCACATACTGGCTCAAGCAAATGATTTCAAAATGAAAAATGCATGGTGCCTCTTTAAAGCAGGGGCATTCAATTCCAGGCCTGGAGGTCCGGCATCCAGCCCAT